AGATTGAGAACGAAATGGCAGGAGCATAACAAAATGGCGTGATATGTGTTTAACAGTAACTGGTTTTATGTTGCTTATATAATAAGCATATTGAGTTTTCCGACTCAAAAAAGAAATTTAACTTCCATAAACTGTTAAAAATCTCCCAAGAATTTCTTGTACGTACGATACCCACTTAAAGCATTTTTTCTTCCATTACTATAATAACCATGTTCCAGGAAATTGCTGTACACCTCGAGCGATGGTAATTTTAGGTTTCACTCCGTGCTTACAATTTTTCTGAATATATCTTCAAGTTGTTATAAAATCACAGAATCGTGACGTATTTTTAATCCTCGACGCAAAAAGAGGGGTGTTATAAGTTTGATGTGCCTGTGTGTCTGTCAGCCTGTGGCATAGTAGCTCCCGAAAGGATGAAGCGATTTCAATTTAGTTTTTTTTTTATATTAAAGGTGACTTATGTGCGAGTGTTCTTAGATATGTTTGATGAAAATCGGTTGAGTCGTTTAAAAGTTGTGGGGGATGAAAGTGGGGAAGAATAACCGAATGTCTGCAAATTTACTCGAGTATCATATGAAAACTCACTTAAAGAAAATCTACATCATAATAAGTATGTATATATAAAAAGTATAATATAATAAACAATGAAATTTAAAGAACCCCGACACAAAAACCTAAATTCCCTTGCAAAAAAAATACGTCGCTTTGGGGGACGTCTTAAATTGTTAGGTTTGGTGCGATCCCCCAACGCGACGCAATTATTACATATTTAGGTAATTTAAGATTAACTTTCTTTTATTATTTTTTACCTTTTAAAGGAAACTTAGGTTTTTATGTCGGGGCCTTTTTTCATACAATCATTGTCTTTGTTAAAAGCGTCCCGATAATAATTTCAATTTCGTATTCTCTAACATAAAAAGTATCCTTGCCATTCACGTTTGCACTAACTAAGTATGTCTTTATTGCAACATGAAATATTGATATTTTTCTTTAAAGGTCATAGCTTAGCTCTATTGAAACTATTGGTGTTCGCTGATGTAAATGAGTTTCTGCAATAGATATTTTTAGTGGTGAAAGCTTCGAATTAATTAAAGCTAATAAATAACTTAAAATCTTGCTCTGTGTACACTGGATAAGTATTAAGTTAGAAAAAATAAGGAAATATATGAAAATATAAGAAATGAATAATAAGGTGATAGATAATATGTGTAAAAAAACATATGTGAATTGATTAGATAATTGGTTTTTTAATAACAGTGGTAATGGAGCTTATAATAATAAAGATTTTCATAGATTTCTATCGAGCAAAACATTTAGTATTGTAATGAGTAATACCATGACACGTTTATAGTAAGACAAATATCTATTTATGGTCATCACAAAAGCAATAACTGCAGGCTTCAAACACATGGTCCGTTAAAAATGACCATAGATCATTCGTAAATAATTAAAACATATAGGAACTAGAATCTGTTAAGATTTCTCATTTGCTACACAAGTAAAAGTTAATACAAGGAATCACACGTTTAGATAATGGCTTTGTTAAGATAAACAAGTTAGGCCAATCCTTTGACGATGACGTAATGGTTCAAATAACGCCTACTTTAAAAGTAGTATACACACTTACTATATTTCTTATATTTTCGTGTCAGTCTCTGTGCTTCGCCTATTTAATTTAGCACGTTTGTTAAATGTGTTAGGCATATTCACATTTCAGGTCCTTGCTTCAAAACTCTATAGATGTCTAACGAAGGCTTGCCTGCAATAGACCATTAACATTCATATTATATAAAATAATAACATTCCAAACTTTTTATAAGCCAGGAAAAGAATTGGAATTGACCATTCTTGACCCGAACTGGCAGTAGTATATCCGGATTACCTACGGTAAGGTAATTATTGCTTTCGTTTGCCTTGAATCGGAATATATAAATTATAGCTACTGCTACATATAATTTTGTACTAATTCCGATTGAGTACCTAAGTGTCTTAGTGTGTTCTTTGTTTCGTTTATAATTTCTGTGATTGTATTTCTTTACTTGAATGTATTATTAATTTGCAAATATTTAAAGATTCCGTAGTAGATAAAAACATAAACATACTTCTTATTTATATTTACTCTCTGGTATGTATATATATTATTTCAGATTTCCTCTTTGTAATCGAATATGTATACTACCTACGCCATAATATCTAGTAAATAGTATGTTGCAACATAGTCAAGTTACATACTGATTGAAATTCTAAACCATGACTTGTTTTTTATAATTTTTTAGTCTCCATATATAGAAGTCTTGTAGTAAATATTTGTCATTGGACCCATTTTTGTTTGAATACAAGATAGCATCACGATCCGGCTAATTTGTTTATCACATAGTAACGTCGCTGGGTAGGCGGCCATTTTGGTTTTGCGATTTGCTAGAAACATTCAAATATGGCGCAACTGAATGTTTCGACTTATAATCTCTTAAAATTATACATTCAACGCAATTTGCAAAACAGCGATATATCGTAATAGACAAATTAAATTTATTTTGAGACGTTCAAATCATTTGTCATAAAATAAAATCTTTTGTTTTTATTATTCACTTATGAGGAATGATATCACTCCTGTTTACTTATCTTACTTAAACCATTATAAATTCATACAGCTATGTAAATACAGATATCTATACCTATAGGTACCATTAGTATAATTTTTGAAAAATAAAACGCAATAATTTTAATCCAAGGTGACATAGCACAAATTTTTCCTTTGTTCTTTAAATATATTATATCTAGAGCACACGCACTTACAAACGGTTTGGTTATATTTCTCAATGTAAGATTATCCAAATACGTATTTACTTATCGTAATACCGTAATCCATCGGTATTATGCATAAGTTATTTTAAGCAAAACAACAGCATTTTGGATATTGGTTCCAAACTCGTACTCGTTTAAATCAAATTAATACCTATAAAGTCATTTTACTTTCACTTCAATTTGCCAAACCTGATTCAAAGCTTTTGGCGATTGCCTAAAATGCAATTATTAAATATCGAAACCTATAATTACGCTACAAATATTATGTGCGAATAAAACATATATACTTGCTTACACATTACATTAGATTGCTTATTTAAAAGGGCGTCTCTTTTATAACGATACGATATTACTGTTTATTTTATTATTCACAGTTCAATGTTCACTAAGAACCTGTTTCATTATTATTTATAGAGTCGCCTCTATATGTTCGAGTATTTTTACTCAATTATCAAACTTGTATTTTGGAATATTTGTTACAACTTTATAGTATTTTAAATTTTAAAACTTTATAGTCTTGTAAAAAATGTTGAAATTAAAGTTGTCCCTTATATTAGACCATAGACTTTCAACAAAATCTACTTATACGATCCTCTGTAATTTATATTAGTTCGAATTGATAACACATTGCTACAACCGGTTTGAAAATTCCCAATAATTACTCTGTCAAAACCAATTGCAGCAATATCCCAACTAGCCAATCATAGAGCATTATTCAGTATGGCGAAAACGGTTGAACGGCGAAAATACGTGCTATGGTTTCTATTATTTTTGTTAGATTTTAACAAGTTTCAAAGTAATTTAGTTATTTTACTGCTACGATGGATTGTTTTCCTACACTTGCCAAACGGCAGCGCAACCCCAATGCTTGGAAACGGAATATCGCTAAAGTTCAGAGGTTAGTTTTAATAGTTTATAGAGTACTTCGTTTATCTTGATACTTTTTTGGAAAAAAATGGAGTGGAGATTTCAAATCCAATTAATATATAATATTTTTTATTACTATTAGTAATATTATGTAGGTACAGTCACCAGCACAGCAACCCACCCAATCTATCAAAACAATAAATACAATGTTTAATACAATATAATAAGTTTCACTGAAGATTATAAGGTTCAAGCTGTATTGTAATTTGACAGATTGGTGCAGGTCGATGCGTTAGCCACCGTACATTTCTATATATAATTTTGTTTTAGGTATTCCCCAAAAACGTTGCCAATGAGACCTTTGTGCAAGCATAAAAAAAAATTTGAATGCCTATCAATTTCAATAAGAGACATTAAAGAATTTTTGATAGCTTTTATAAATTTCATGACAAAAGCAAACAAGATGCTTTCATATTAAAACATTGTTCAGTTAAACAGACTTAACGTCGTCGTCCTACGACTGTTAGTCATAAGCCAAAAAGTTCTCAAATTTCTTATTTTATCTTTAGCGCCACTTTGAAGAAACGTGTTCAAGTTTGGCAGATTTTTTTTTGATAGTTCTTCAAATTACCAAATATAGGGTGCAATTAGTATTGACTGAGTATTTTAAAACGGGTGCATTACTTAAAGAGAAAAGAGGTGGTGATCACGTTTCTCACAAGTATGCACCTAAAAAAATAATACTATAAACTGCTTTAATAGCAATAAGAATTGCTGCAATAAAGCATTTATCTATCTATCTATCTAATACATTTCATAAAGTTTTTTAAAAGTACAAAAATACTTACTATTATTATTATAAGTTTTGATTTTATTTGAAACTTTTCATTTCATAAATAAAATTATTATCAATTTTGTGTGTTAAACAATAAAAAATAAAATATTACCTACTAAGCTGATTAAAGTATCTAATTTCATACATCTTACCATACACAGCTTTAAATATGGCGTCGTTAGGTGCAATGACAGCAATGTCCCAAAGTAGAAGATTCAAACACAGCAATATCCTAATGTCAAGAACAAAAACAGAAATATCCTTTCATTTTCTCAATATTTTACCATTATCATTTAGTATTTTTATCATCTAATCGCTAGCACATATACATTATAACATCCCTTTTGAAATACAATAGACTTTGTTCAAAAAGACATAGATTAATTTACAAAAAAAACAAAAATCATTTTTTCTCAAAAACGCCTCGAGTGGAGATTGCTGTATATGCATCTATATGATTCAATTAAACGATATTTCTTTTTCATATTTTCAGATCTGTGAGAAATTGGAGATTGGCGCTGAAGCAGACTACTTCGGTCTACAGGTGTGCCCAGGGTCAGGGCCCGGAAGATGGCTAAACTTGCGGAACCCCCTAGACCCCCACCGTATTCCTGGGGGCAGACTGGACTTACGCGTCAAGTTTTGGGTGCCTCCCCATCTCCTGATTAATGAACCCACCCGCCACCTATTTTACCTTCACGCTAAACTAGATCTTACCGAAGGTAGATTGGTCGTTGCCGACTTGGAAGTCGCCAGGCGCATCATCGCCTACATTGCCCAAGCAGAAACTGGTGACTGCGATCCGGAAGTGCCTCCGACTTACATTTACGAGGAATGTGATAAAATCGGCCCACAAGGGGAAAAACCAGATGATCACATGGATAAAATCATTGAATACCACTGCGAGATCGTTGGCATGCGAGCTTCCCAGGCAGAATACAGACTTTTGAAAGAAATATCAAATTTGGAATCTTTTGGCGAAGAGTTGTTCTTTTGTAAACCTGTAACACAGTTTAACAATGCACACAACTTATATAGTCACTTATTATATCATAAACAACAAGAGGAAGAACAGCCGAGGGCAAGAGATGACCAGGAAATTGATGGGAGTGCGACTGTAGGCTGTTTGGCATCTGGGCAAAACGGAGGTGGTTGTGGCTGCAGACTAAGCACGAGTGTCGGCGTCGGTCCCCATGGTATTGTGGTGTACAGGCCAGCGTGTAACGGAGAACAAGAAATTGGAGTGGAGAAACAAAGGTATGTTCTGTTATTTAACTTAGAGTGTATAGAGAACGTGGACCGATTTGTGTTTATGAGATCGTCTCTATTGAGCTTGAGTCGTATAAAACTCGGGCGGTATTTGATAATATTGTGCGTCTTTGCGATAATTACACGTGAATTAAGATAGTAAAACTACTAATCCGTCAATTTTGTCACGATAATTCGTGTTGCCAGCGGTTATGGCTTAAAATAAATGCGTAGTTTCTTAAAGGAAAATAATGAATCATAATATTAACACTTGTTATTATAAATAACAGGGAGTATAACCTACATTGTTACAAACCCAAGGCTAGAACTAAAGTTATGGAAGTCTAAGACAATGACTCAACCACCGAATCTACACACAACAAAGAAAACATTATTTTACTTATTTAGACTGCTGTGTGAAATAAATCCAGTCAGGATTGCAAAACGAATTAGCAGACATTATTTTTATCATCCACATCCTTGCGTGACAATAACATGTACAGTTACGGAAGTGACGTATACTAATATCAATGTAATATCACTAGCATATTGCCAACCTTGTATTACCTATTTCCTTTACCAATATCACTTTTGAACTTCAAACTGTAATTAATGCGAAAATATCCTGTGTGCATATCTAATCTATGATAAGGTAATATTACCGATATGAAAAGTTAGTATTGAATAAATATAATATATAAAATGACGCCACTGCGCAGTAAGTTGTGTGTTTACAAAAACACACACATTATTCCCTATTAACCTGAATATTTAAAGCGGCCAGTGTGGCACCAACCGTATCTGTATCTTCGTCAGTACCTAAGCGTACATTTACACCTTATTCTCTCGATTATATGTTCAATTTTGAAATCACGTTTGTTGACACCTGCGCTACGTAGCAAGAACTTATTTTTATTTATATTTTTTTTATTGAAACAAATTTTTTTTCAATAATGTTATCGATAAATAAAATACGATTCGATGATTTTTATTCGCTTTCAGAATTCCTATACAATTACTAATAATTGGCATTTATACGTAAATTAATTCTCAGATTGTCAGTTCGACTGAATAAGAGAAATCATCTTATAAAAATGCTAAAAAATCCACTTTGCCCGAGGTAGGTACTCTGAGATCATTTTTCATTAGGAGTGAATGCAAAGTGGAACAAATATAAAACAAAACATGTTTATATTCTTTCTTTAAAGAAAATTGTTACATAAAACCAATTTTATTCGCAAGCTTCCCAGTAACTAACAAACACCTAGGGGTTGCGTAATACACTTTGAGAAACTCTGTCGTAGAAGAAAGTTAGCGAGTTTTGTTTTACGATTACCTTAGTTATTATCATGCAGGTATTTTTTTTTAATTGCCATGTTTTTGTCACGTGTTAGTCTTTCTCTGTTTACTATTTGTTCTGATAAGATAATACGTAGGTATGACCTCTTGCAGCGAAAACAAAGTCTCTACCAATAAGTTAGCAAAATTTACAATGTAAAAATAGCGTTAGTTCACTCAATACATAGAACGTAGTTATATAAAATTAATATTTAGAAATCTTTCATATGATAACAAAAACCGGACGTTTTACAAAGCAAATTCAATTACATATGATAAAGTAAATAGGTACTTTTTCTCGAAGAACTCCTTTTTGAGCAACTCGATATCGCATTCGAAATTTATTATCTCCGTACTCTGTAAGGCATCTTGAACCGTTCTTGACCCGCGCGCGTTCTTGGTCAGGTGACCCATTCCCATTTTTGATTCGATTACCCCCAAGTGTGTGTGCCCCAGCAATGAGGACATTATAAGGCTGGTGATAATTATTTTCTAGAAAGAGAGATATTGTCTCAAGGACACGATAATAACCGAATCCCTCTACAAAACAGCCAGATAAACATCACAAAAGCCTCGAGTCATTGGACATAAATGAACAATGTAATATTGTTGGTTCCAGCATCAAATACACAGTGATACACCGCGCCCAGCCGCTGCGGCGTATATTCCAGCTGTCGTACGTGACCGCGGAGGGCAGCGAGAAGACGCTCCACGTGAAGATGGCGACGTCGGGCCAGGCGGCCGCGCTCTACCGCGCCGTCACCGAGAAGCACGCGTTCTACTGCTGCGAGACCGTGCGCAGCGACGTCACCGAACAGTTCATAAGGGACCTCAAGGTGACAGGAACTGACTTATACCTATATAACGACCACCCACACTTCGTGGACGAGTGGCTCGTACCACAGATTATCTCAGGTCTAGGTGTTGTGGGAACTTCGTTGTTTCAGTATGCCACTAATACGAGTGCTTTTTTCAAACTACTACTTTTAATCGGTTTTATCGCGTGAAAATGTAAGGAATATGCTGGAATCTTACCAAGTAACATTATAAATATTGTAAATATACGTTTTTAAATAAATCATTTTAATTTATTTAGGATAACAAACAATTGTACAAAACATGTTTTATCAAGTTGTACAGTTAGAAATAAATAATAAATTGCACAACCATCACGTAAAACCTACGTAATTTTTCTCTCCAGAAAGATCAATAGTGAAATTCAGTTGCTTCTAATACAGTACAGCAATCATGGACATTTTATGGATGAAATCTAGTAAGTAGGTATTTATCTTAAAATATAATAAACCTATTTATTCTATAAGTTCTATAACGACAAAGACTTGTATGGAATATTTAAAAACCAATCGGTAACCACATAAGCTGTCTGATTACTAATTCTAAGTTGTAGATACGTCTGTCTAACAAATCACTTGTCACATTAAAATGTAATAAAAAATGTAGGTAGGTAGGGAATAATCATACTTACATATGACATTTACATTTACATATTACAATGTATTATTTTACAATGACAATGTTTGTTTAGCAAGCATACTTAAATCAAAATTGGTAGTACAGCTAAATATGAGCCAAAATATGTAACTACCTACATTTGGTATGCTAATTTCCTATACCTTTATGGATGATAAGGCTTTTCTTAATTTGCAGTCGGTTTGAAATTCTATTACAGATAAGTATCATAATTAAGTTGGGATAAAGAAAAGTCTTTTGGAAGTTTTATAACCGCGCCAATGTGTGACGATATATTTAGATTTTTTTTAAAGTACGAATTATTAACAGTATCTCGAGTGGCTTCTGATTTTTTATTACCAATGCAATAGTTTTTATTTCATTCTTGTAGCTTTGTATTTTATAACATCATAATGACACTTGAATTTTACTCGGGTTAATTATTCATTGTCTAGTTGTCTCAAATAGTGACAGATAGCTAATGAATTAGAAGTTATTTACTTTTGCAGCCATCATAGAGTGTTTGTAACATCCGTTTTCATAAATATTGTTGATTGCTAATTGAAAATCACAATTCTCCTGACAATGTTATTTCGAAATTAAAATGTGCGAAATTGTCTTTTACCTACTTACATTTTATTTCACCTACCTATTGTCAATGTAAGCAATTACTAGAAAAACACACTTTTGTCAACAAAAATATGAGATTTACTAAGCACAACAAAAGGCAATAAAAATTTGATGATTTTAAAAATTAATAAGTACGACTGGAGTATTCAAATAACATGAAATATTTTGTAATACACTTTATGATAAATAAGGTAAAAATAGAGTCATTGTGTAGTTAAGTACCTACAAATTTAGCTTATTTAATAAGCATTATTACATTTTTGTAGAATATACATATATATCACGTGATATGAATAGATTTTACATAAATCGTGAACATATTTCTGCATTAAAAGTATATGATTGTTTTAGTTAGGAATACGATGACATTTAAATAAATCAAATTGACATCACCTCAGGCTACGTGATCATAGTGGCCACTGTATATTACGAGTACTTACACATTTACGGTTACTTTTATTCAAAAGCATGATAATGTATTAGCAGGCCATGATATGTAATTCTGTTAAGTTTACGTAGTAAAGACATGTCAATAGGTACTATCTACATTTTCCCCTGTTTTGTTTTGTACAGAGTCATCGTCATACTAAAATATTAGAGAACATTGCTCAGATTCCAAGATACCGAGTATGTGTGGCATCGACAGTACCACAACACCCGGACCCGAGACCGGGTCAAAAAGACTTTTTTCTACATCGACCCGACCAGGAATCTAGCCCGGGGCCTCGAGAGATGGCGACATCTCGAAATCGGTGTGCGAACCACCATTTTAAGTATAAGCATAAGTGTTCCAATTTAACGTAAGTCGCCTTCGTGTGTTACAGGGCACGATAGCGTCCATCTTCAACGACTCGACGACGTTAGGGCGGCGGTACGTGTTCGACATCCGGCGCACGTGCCGCGAGGTGCACGACCGCGCGCGCCGCGCCCGCCACCGCCGCCGCGACCCGCCCTCGTCGCACGCCCCGCCCTCCTCGCCCTCCTCGCCCTCCTCGCCCTCCTCGCGGGCCCACGCGCACACGGTGAGTCACACTATATACGGACAATACGATACTGTATACGATGTAATATCTCGAAGTCAATTCAATCTGCTCCTTTGAAGACTAGTGAGTGAGCTTTAACGGTCGTGTTGCGCAGGGCCCCCGGAGCAGATCCCGCAGCGGCGGCGACGGCGGAGGGGGTGGCGGGGGGGAGGCGCTCGCGTGCCGCGTGTGCATGGACAGCGGCATCGACACGCTGTTCCTGCCCTGCAGGCACGTGGTCTGCTGCCAGGAGTGCGCCAACAGGTCGGTGACTATTCTGTTAATCGTCTAACATCTTTTTACTTACCATCCCCCGGGCAATAGGGATGACGACTGAGAAGTAAAAAAAAAGAAATTCTATTTATTCCGTCAGTCAGATATATAATATAAAAATATTAGAAAAATATTACATACGTATTTTTTTGCTTCAATCGAGGTATTAGAGTTGAGGAGTGGAGGGCTCGCCACGTCACAGTTTTGTAGACAATGTACAAAAGCGTGACGTCATGCGACGATCAAGCAAATATTAAAAAATAAATACTTAATATAAAAAATTAGTCGTCTGATAAATCCTGTTAAAATACTGCCTATTAACAGGACTTTACATTTGCATATTTTCACATTCTGACTGAATTTGAATTTTACTGATTTTTTCTGTACATATTAAAATAATACTTCCTAAATATTAATAGTTCGTCATTGTATGCAGAAGTATACATAATTCATTCACTTAAATTTCTATGATTACATTACACATGACTTCTGTATAACGTGTGAACAAACAGAAATTAAAATGATTTTATTTAGTTCAGTTTTGAGAATAGTACTTAAATTTCTATTTATGTAAAAATTATTTGTTACAAACATCAATTGCCCTGTATATTGTTGCAGATGTGAACGTTGCCCACTGTGCAGGGCGGCCATAGAGAAGTCTATGCACATATTCCTGCCAGTCGAATACCAAAAGTCCCCTGGCCTTATAATTAAATGAGATAATTTTCGAACTGATCATTGCTGGCCCAAAATCGACTACAGTTCCCGACTTGTGTGATTTTAGAAGTCCTTCCGTTCGCACACCGTGTCGGCAGAATGGAATGGATGTCGCGGAAGTGAAAAGTATAATTGTCTTATGTTAGTGACGTAATCAGTGACAATAAAAGTTGGTTGATTAACGTAAATGTATTATAATCTGTTTGGATTATTGTACTGCACTTCATAGGTGGAGTCTTACAAATGTATTTTTTAATATTAATCTTTCATACTTTTATTGAATTTTAAATTGTGTGGAGCCAAGTGCCTATTAAAAAGAAACCTGTAAGATTGTGTGTGTGAACGTCTAGTCAACTTTGTGACTCTTTAACAATAATAATTAATACATGCATTTTTCTCCCAAGTTATTTGGAAACCTTACTTTATTTTTTCTCGCATTCCAATTAATGAAACATTTGGAAAGTTACAATCGGTACTTATGTGTAGATTTAAGTGATCATATCCGAACTGCCTTTGATTTGAACAGTTTGTTTGTTTATGGAAAATTAATAGTAAATAATCCTTTCGTTTTAGAAAGGTGTATTTTGTATAAATGATAATCTTTTGAAGTTAAATGATGGTGATATAACATCTTTGTGAGGAATTTTTCAATTCGCATTCTAATTGTAAGCAAATTCTGCATTTTCTATTGATTTCTTGCCGTTTCCTGTTTAACTTTGTGGTATATTTTATTTTTAAGATGTAATTGTAAGACCCGTGGTCTATAAGTTGTCAAATTTTAACATAAAAAAATAAGAAAAAATTAAGAAAATAAACATATTTATTTAAGTTATGATGTCGTTTCATTTCTTATATCTCGTTCAAACAACTTTTACTACAGTTGCGTCATTATAATAGGTCACATTTGTCATTTTTCAGTTTCAACTTTAAAGTAACCTTGTAATATAGTAAAAAGTTATTGCTATTTTTTTTTTTCAAAGTTACTTTTCTATGTAAATAAAATATATTTATTGTCATGATATAAAACTAAGGCAATTTTAAGTTTTATTTTGATCAATAAACATTTCTATATGTAATAAATTTATTTCATTCTAAACAAACTACGCTGCTACAATGTTATGTCAGTGGACCCGTTGACTTTATAAACACTAGGGACGTGTAATTATTTATGAAAACATGAACAAATAACCACTTTGGGAATCTAATCACTAAATATTGTTTATATAGGTAACGTTTCAATTATAAAGAATTTCTTTCTACAAAATGTTTTGAGCTCATATCAAAATCTTATAAATATTTGGTTGCATATTTTTGTACCTAAAAATAATTTTAATTTTCAAATTGCCCGCGTAAACGTCAACTGTCATGGCGTTACTATGACGTCAAGCTCTTCTTAAACTAATATCATTCTGTGTATGTGTTATGCTCAAAGAGAGAGAAAAAAATAGTTTATACCGCGTTGTGGTCATAGTCATTTATTTTATACCATATTTGATTAGGTTAGGTTAGGTTAGAGTATGACAAACAATGAAGCGAATCGCTATTGTAAAATGCAACAGCTAGTTAAAGTAACGCTCAGAACTTGTGGCATTCTTCATTGCCACAACGCGTTGTGGTCGAATAGCATGACAGCCACGACACGGATTTCGCTATGTGCTCATTCTGCGATTGTCACAACTCGTAGTAAGCATTTCCATCAGAGTCATAACACTGATTTCGCTAAGTATATGGTTATTTTGCGATTGCGACATCGCGTCGTGAATTTCGCTATGCGGTTGTTCTGTGATTGCTTCAATGCGTTATGAACTATTTTTCGCTCAATGAGCAAATTTGATCTTTGAGTATAATCAAGCATAAGGTTTAATTCTCTAAGTTCCGATATGAGTTAGAGGGGCGTCACGTCACGCGCTCTTTGCGGTCATCTGACGAGTATAAAATATTTGTTTTTTTGTTATAATGAATTTAAATAATATATAATAAGCAACAAAGTGCGACTATCAGTAATAGTATAAAATAAAATGTATTTATTTTCGTTAACTGTCTATACCCGTATTGTCTTAGTAATGTTGTTCAAAGTACTTGGTTACATTATGGAGAGTATATACACCAAAGCCTTTCTAAAGGTTTAAAAAAACATTAATTTCCGAAATCAAACTAAATGTCGCTACGGAAGTTTCTTGATTTCTTCATGACAACCCTAACGGTTTTCGTTCATGTATTAAGTTGAATTAGTTTTTCTTTTTCGTTTTTTTAATGTTAGTTAAAGGAACGGAAATGACTATCTTTGGCCCATTCGTTTCCTGCAAAAATCAACTTTTGCTAGAGTCGCCTTCTGGTGAGGTACTTTATTAGTACTTTCTTTTTTTTCTTGAAAACTTCCTCATTGGTTTTGTATCAATAAAAATTATAAATCCAAAACATTAATTTAAAAAATTTTCTTTATAGAACCAAATAACAAATTTACTCGTAAAATTCTTCATTTACTCCATTTTATTGTAATTGCTGTTATAAACACTTGTATCGCTTTGTAACCGATGGAATCATGCAGCAATCTTAAAAAGAAGTTTGCGAGTAATTCATCAAACAGTTTTTGACTCTCAATAGGGTTTTGACACTTTCTGAAAACTATTTTAAATTATTTGATACATTTTTATCACACTGTCATTATATTTCATGAGATTATTTTCTATTTTCAATGAAAATAATTGTTAAAGTTTAAATAGCCAAAGTCGCGCTAAAAACGCTGCTCCGTGTAATGGCGCTGATCACGTGCTATTTGTGACGTCACAATGCCGGTAAATATATCAAGGCGACATAACCTATTTATCAACTTACTTATTTACGACGTAAACAAATAGTATTACGGAAGTGAAATTGAAGTTAAATTATTTATTTGTATCTACTCTATTCGACATCCTCTGTCCCTATCTATTTACCGTGGCCAACGAGATACTCGTACAAAGGTGAATTGGAGGTCAAATGATATCATGCCGTAATTTGCTAAGTAGTGGAGTGCGTAAGTCGTTTGGCCCTTCGAAGTAGAAGAGAAAAAGATACTGTGAAAGATATTGCACAGCCGGGAGCTTGTCACGTATTCACACAGAATTTTGAATCGGTAAAATAAGCGCCATATCTTGAAGTCAGTGCTATTTATTAAAAAAACTAAATTATGCGTCCATAATTTTACATTATATAATTTAGCAAGTAAGAAAGTAATATGTCATTGGTTCGATGAGTCAAATAGCACACTTGAAGCGTCTGTTTCAAGCTTAGTAGACTATCTAGAGAAGGTTTTGAGTCAGAAATTATTACCTGTAATTTTATATTCCAATGGCTGTTGTACTCAAAATAGCAATGCTACGCAATAAGAAATCCTAGATTACGTTCAGCGTTTGAAAAAAATGTTGTGATCAAATCACTTATAATGACCTTCCGCACAGCAATATCTAAAGACTGCAACTAACTATAAGACTAGAGATTTTGAGTATTATTTACGTATTTTTATACTTTTATTACTGTTATATCTTGTTTCGTTGGAGTTTATTAAAGATTATGTTTTAAATATTTACCCATTAAAATTTACGCTCTAAAGGTTTGTGTGTTACCAAATAATTTTAAGCAATTGATCTGAACAACGTGTTTTTGAAGATTTAGGCAGAGGTTCCCAAACATTTTTTTCTCGTAGACCAATAAATAAAGAATAGTATATGTCGGCGTGTAATCAGGTAGGGGCTACTATGAAGCCCAAATAGATTGTCCATATCGGAGGACTATCTTTAAAATAACACTGCAGGCTTGTATACCAACGTCGATTTATTTCATTTTATCACTTTTCACACGAAAATATAACGAGATGAGCGTGACGTTGTCGGATGTCTTTTCTTCTCGGCGATCGGAAATATAATGTGTGCCAAAATGGCGGCAATTTGCTTTTTGTTAACGAACTGTCAAAGTCAGTGTCACCATTCTAATAAAATTAGAAGTATCGATGATCACGCTCTCTCTACAATCGAGTAATTAAGTAATCGAGTAACTAGCAATTTAAAAAAGTCACTAAAAGTCACTAAATCAAACGATCTTCGTAAAGATGATGCGACATATATTTTCTTGAAATAATAATGAGAAGAGACTTAATAGAATTAAAATGAAACACTAATAACGTTACGTAACTTCATCAATGCAAATCAATAATAAAAAATACCCATAATTTTAATGGGAGGGATGTACTTGATGGATAGATAGCAAATTATCAATATTTGGCTTCAGTTTTATTATTCTGTAATGTTTAATCTGCTCCTTTTTTTTGTTAATAGGTTTGTAACGACACTAAAAGTTATGACGAGACACTTTCCGACAAGGTCTGACGAGATAAACGCTATCAAAAGTTTTCTCGAAATTTCCCACAGCCCTGGATATTTTTCGGGTAAAATCATTGATAGCCTTTTTTAAATTGCACCTTCAGCTCTTCATTGGTGCTGAGCTCGAGTAGTTCCTCTTGTAATACCACATCCGCCACTTCCGTTTCATCAAATGGATTTATGATCCGTGGTGGTATTTCCGTCATCAAAATATCTTCAAATCTCTTTCTGAAAGTTGAACGTATGTCTGAATGTCTTCAACAAGACATGCTGTATGTGACAAGTTTGGAAACTGTGAGAATTCGCGCCAACTAATATTTTGCTTCATAAATTTCAATTTTCCAAGAATAGCCGAAATTATACTCTTTGTTTTGATTAAATTGAGGCTAACCCCTTGTAACTGCAAGTTAATGTCATTACATTTTTTGAACAACTCTGCCAAATACGCGATTCCTGCTTTCCATTTGATCAAGTTTTCTTTTAAATCTGGATCTTTACTTTCCAGAAACTCTAAAACTGATTCAATAGTAAGTAAAACCTTGTTAAACAAGCACCTTTCGACAACCAGCGTACTTCAGTATGTAAAAGCAATAGTCGGAAGTCTTCATAATTTTCGTCGCACAATTGGGCAAATAAACGAGTATTCAACGCACTGCTTTTTATTTTATTAACAGCTTTAATCATAAGTTGAAGCGATTGATGCAATCTATCACTCAAATATTTTGCTACCAGGTGTTGTCGTTGGATGACACAGTGTATTGCGGTTACTCCTGGTATTATTCTTTTAAGATGGCTATTAAACCCACGATAAAGTCCGACCATGGCATTAGCTCTGCTACTGTACTGCCGACATTTCTTCTTACATTCAGATTCGGGGTAGCGTACCCCCACTCTAAGGAATCTAATAAGATTAACTGATTTATGTATGAGCTAAGTGCGATCACTCAAATTGTATGTAAGAAATCGATTTTGCGCAATAAAGCATGTTCTGCCTTCGAACGTTCTCCGAGATTCTCCGAACCAAGTGTTTTACTTTGATACCTCTGCTACCTGCCCGCTTTCAAATCCAGCTACAGTCCATCTGCTACAAATACAGTATAGCTGGAACAATTAACTTTCTGAAAAGATCTGTATCATCCTTACAAAAAATGAAATAAGTATATAATTACAAACATGCAGGTCAATCATATATCTCTCCTTTAGTGAATAACTACAGCCGGGTAAATAAATAATGTTATAATAAATAGTACAAAATAAATCGAATAATGGACCTGTTCAGTATTTAATTTTTATTAAGTACGTACCTACTACACGCAAACATAACAAATATAATATTATTACAATCAAATAGGCAGGGACTCACTTTTCCGGTACTCACTTTTCTGGTACTCACTTTTCCAGGACCAGCAAACACTGACATAGATTCA